GAAACAATTTCTTATTTTCTAAGTTTGCGAATAAAACTTCACACTTAAAATTAAGACATTTATAACAAACATTTTATGAAGAAAATCCCTTCTTGGTTTAAAATAAAAATAAGCGAAATCGGCCCAATTTCATACAACCCTGCCAGACATGAAAATTTTCTCCACGATAAGGCTAGTAGCCATTTCTAACAGATTTTGGGTCAAAAATGGAAACATATATGTGGGATTAGTTTACGGACAGTACTTACGATGCTAGGACTAATTGGCCATTCAGAGTTAGTAACATAGAAATGCAGCCCTACATAACGAATAGAGGAATCTAACTTATCAAACTATTTAACGAAAGGCGATAGAGAAGAGAATGATACGAACAGATCAGACTGGACATTGCATTGTCAGCCGCCATCAAGCGCAGAACAATGTTCTGCTAGTGTTAAGTTGTTTAATTGTAGTATGTGCGTTTTGTTAAATAAACAGTATGTAATATTAAATTATTAAACTAAATAACCGCGTTTTGTTAAAGAAGATGAAGAAACGGGAAGGCCATTCCTACATATATACATATTTGAAATTTAAGAAAACAAGGCAAATAGCAAAATCGGCTAAAAACGGCTAATTTTTATCTGCAAAACGGCTAAAAAATCGGCTGTCGGCTAAATCGAAATTTCTCAGGCTGTTTGCTATCGCAACCGGCTAAATCTAGCAGGAAAACGGCTAAAATAGCAACACCTGCCACCATGCAGTGCTCGCGGCCATGGGAAGTGTCACAGCCGACTTTGTCGGACCGCTTCCACGCTCCAAACAAGGAAACACGTACCTCCAATCGGGTAGTTAAAACTATGATAGCACAGCGCTCAAGAACAGATCATCGCACCTGGGATCAGGAGCTTCCCCAGATCGCCTTCGCTATAAATACGGCTCAACACGAATCAACGCAAGCTTCTGCTGCGGAGATCAACTTAAGGCGAAATCCAGCGGCGCCACGGCAGATATGCCCCGAAGAGGCAGTACCTGAAGAACACCCCACCGCACCTCCAGCCATCACCGAGTTATGGGCAGAGATAACGGGGCACTTCACCGCGGCGGCCAAAAAGCAGAAAAAGTACTACGACCCACGCAGACGGTCGTGGAAACCTAAAGTTTGGATAGAAGGTCATGAAGCGAGACCGACCTCTCTCCTCTGCTGTCGACAACTACGCACAGAAGCTCTCACCGAAATTCTCAGGCCTGTATACAATCACCAAATACATCTCTGCCAACACGGTGGAACTCGCAAATCCCGAGCGGCTCGACAAACAACCAGCGCACGCGCACCTTCAGGACCTGAAGCCATTCGCCGCATAAACGACCGAAACCCGCTCTCCATCTTATCATTTCAGATTCTTTCCCCAGTCACGTCAGACACGCCGCAGTGATGAACCGCCGTAAGCTCCATCCAGCTCCGCCAGTCGAGCCACAACGCATCCGACCGTAGCGACCGTCATATCATATATTTGTAATACTCTCTTATCATAAATGCAAATACAAAAAACGTGCCCAATAAATAAAAAAAATGTGATTAGTATTGCCATAATGCAACCCTGCTGCGAGGTTGCAAAATGTAGACGCGTAAAAAACATACCTTTGAGTGTGACAAAATGTATACGGCGTCGTTTTCCAATTTTGTATGGGAAACAACAACACCACAGATTTTACGGTTAGAAAACGTCTTAAAATGTAGACGTCTACATTTTCAGACACTATTTGGAACGAACTGTATATGATTAAATGATTTCTGCAACAATGATTTCCAAAATTAAATTTACTATATTTTCTTTTTACATTTCTCCAAAGAAAGCACTCAATATCATGGATCTACAAAATTCCATAGATAGTGTACGGTCTCCAAGTATTATTACCGGAGATTTCAATGGATGGCATTCCATACAAAAATAATAAGAGGGGAAAATGTATTTCAAAATTTATTGATGACAACAACTTTATTTTAATGAACAACAAATCTCCAACACATTTCAGCAGTAGTCATGGCACCTTCAGTCATATTGACTTAAGTTTTTGTTCAACAAGATTAGCAATTGACTCAACATGGAAGACAGCAAAATCGACATATTCAAGTGATCATTTCCCTATATTTATAGAATTAGTTAAGTCTACAAATACATTTTGCTATAAAAGAATGCCAAGGTTTATTGTTAAAAAGGCTCAATGGCCAAAGTTTATCACCTTAACTGAAAAATTGGGCTCGGAGCGGCCAATTAGTTCTAATGTTAATAAAGAATGTGCAAACATTCATCGGATTACGGATCGGATTATGGACAATTTATTTAACGACATAATAGCCTGGTGTGATTATTCAGGGGCTCAGATGTCTACTCAAAAATGCAAACAAATACATATTTGCAGGAAGAGAAACTACGAAGTAGAATTAATGGTAGATAACTCTCCAATCGAAAGCATGGAAGAAGTAAAAATACTAGGTATAACTTTTAACAGAAGATATAATTGGAAAAGCCATATTTTCAAACTAAGAAAACCCATTTAGTCTAAAAATAATAAAATGTCTATCCAGTAACAAATACAACTGCAGCCCATCAATTCTTATAAATGTCGTAAATGCCATAATAATGTCAAAAATTGACTATGGTCTATTTTTGTACGGCCAACAACCGGCTTCATCTTTAAAATGTCTGAAATCCATTTATCATTCAGCCATTCGAATGTCATTGGGAGCATACCGCACAACAAATATAAACAATTTACTATTTGAGTCGAAAATTCTGCCATTAGAAAAACGTGTCATCTTTTCCACGACTAAAATTTTTAAAATATTAATGCAGAACAATAGTTTATTTAAAAATATTGTCAAAAAAATTACAAAAATGTGTTGAATCAATAAAAAAAAAGTTACCTTATAAACCTATGGTAATAATATTAGCCCTCCCCCTCCGGATTGTTAATACCGGGACCAAAACGCGTCGTTTGGTACCCCTCCCGACTTTTCCGGACCCCTTTTAGGGGTTGTTGCCCTATACTAGAGAATTACCAAAAAAAGATATGGGGGTTTGGAGGGGAAAGGCTTTTTGATTATAAAGATGAAGACCCCATTCCACGCACTTTTATAGACAAAAAAGAAAAAGTGGATGCGGTCCATTCCTCTTCGCTGAATTTAATGGTGAGCTTTTTTTGGTGCAAGTTGAAATCGCGCGATTTTTGGTAGTAGTGCACTTTAGCGAAAGCAGGTCAAAATGGAATGGAATGGGAAAAAGATCGAGAGTGGTATCAATCGACGCGTCTTTACGCCAATAATAACAATCCGCGACCGGAAATTAACATTTTTAATTCATTAAGGAGTTATTTGCAAAAAAACACTTGTACTTTCCGCACAATGTTTTGATGAATTTCAGGCAAATGAATAAATGAACACAATTTAACACGTATTTATTAGTTTTTATACATTTGTGATTTTTTAAGTGTACACTTTCGCGTAATTCTGCATATAATAGCAATATGCCGATGGTGAAAATCCGCACAACAATCTTGTGTAGTTAATATAAATAAGATGAAGGAAAACTGGTGCTGCCACTCTATTAATACAATTTGTATTTGAACTTTAAAAACACCCAAATAATGCACAAGAAATATACTTTTGTGAAAAGGGGATTTCTGTTCCTTTTCTTCGCACGCAGAAAGGAGAAATCTACGGAGGGTTATAATCTCTAAGCGCGCCGAAGGCCGCCTACGCAGAAAGGTGTTCTCTGCAAAAAGTGTTCTGCCCCTTTTCTTTGACAACACAGAAAGGAGAATTCTACGTTGTGAGGGTTATAATCCCTAAGCGCGACCGAAGGCCGCCTACGCAAAAAGGAGCACAAACACTTTTTTAATAGAGTGGCAGCAGCAATTTAGTTCAATTTTATTTTTAATAGAGTGGCAACACTAGTTTTCCTCCATGTTATTTACATTCTGCCTTATCCTGAGTTTCGCCTGAAAAAAAATTCACCCGAAAATTTTTCATCCGCCCATAGTAAGTCCCCTTTCAGATACGTCAAGTCTTGCTTTCAAGTCTGCTCGTTCGTTGGTGAAGGAGGTGGGAAGAGTACAGATACCTCCGTACCGTCAATTCGTTTCAAGTTTTCTTGTTCTCTTTTGATATTTTCGTTGCTTCCCGTTTAAAGAACCAAGTAGTTGAATTCAATAAAATTTTATGCGTGTGGAAGCAAAGAGAAAACACAAAAGAGAATGCGATAAAAACTGCTTTCAAGACTTGACGTGTCTGAAAGGGGACTATAACCATGGAAATCAACAGTGAAAAGTGAACCGGTTCGGGGAAAATGAAACTCATGATAAGGCTGATTAACTACGCAAGATTGTTGTGCTGATTTTCACCATCGGAATATTGCTATCAAATACAGAATTTCACGAAAGTGTACACTTAACACATCACAAATGTATAAAAACTAATGAATATGTGTTCAGTTGAGTTCATTTACTCCATTTATTTGCGTCAAACTCATCAAAACATAGTGCAAAAAGTGCAAGTGTTTTTTGCGAATAACTCTTTAATGAATTAAAAATGCGAATTTCCGGTCTCGTATTATTGTTGTTCGCATTAAAACGCGTCGATTGATACCCCTCTTGAATTTTTTTCATCAGTTTTGGCCTAATTTCGCTAAAGTGCACTTTTACCATAATATTAGCGCACCCCTCCAGATTGTTAATGGGGCGGCCGAAACGCGTCGTTTGGTACCCCTCCCGATTTTTCCGGACCTTTTTAAGGGGTTGTTACCCTATGCTAGAGAATTATCCTTTTTTTTGGTTTTTCCTGACGATTTTCACTAAAATTTACCCAAAAAACAAATCAGCTCTTCTAGTAACACCATCTTGTATATATTCGCCTTGACGGTGATTAACAAACGAGCATTGATTGGGATTATATTTATATGTAAACGTACCTTTAAGATATTCCGATAAATTTATCGAGACAAAAACTTTTGCCTTTTTCGTATAACAATTCGTCGGTTTTTTGCTTGCAACGATTAATAAATATCATATCTAGTGCTTTTGTTTACATTTGCGATGAACTTGTTGCGCTATGTGAATTTCGGATGCAGGTTTTTACACAATATTAAATATGGTTTTAAATAATAAACTTTTTTTTATTAAGTGTCAGCTCAGTGCAAGGCAAAGATGTGAAACAGTACGGCAAGCACAACATGTTTGACTTGAAGGCTGACACCTCATGGAATTCTAGTGAAGCAAGTGACTACAATTATTTTATTTGTAGATAATCAGCCTGTGTGCGAAATTACCTAAGCTTCTGCATAATTAAAGAATTTAGAGTGGATTTGCCAAATAAGCCGAACACTTGACCCCTAATTCCAGTTGGCATAAGTGCAGGTTAGCGGCAAGTGATAAGAAAAAAATTAAAAAGGGCGTGGCCCCCTTCTACTGATTTTTATGGTGCAAATAATGGGAAATGTTTAGTTATTTGTACAACGATTTTTGAGTGAGGGCGGAAAAAGGATGGACGACTCTTTAAGAAAAGTCACCCCACCCTCCCACACACCCCTTGGTGAAATTTGGTTTTTTTTCCAAAGGAAAAGAGGCAAAACATCTTTTGCAGAGATATCTCGTNAGGTTGTTTTTGGGGTAGGGGGACAGTCCCCACTTTACGAAAAGTCGGACCCCCCTTCGGGCCTCCCTCAGACCCCTGGGGAACCGTTTGAAAATGGGCGAAAAACAGCATTTACCGAGGGAAATTGAGCAGTTTGAAGTTGAATATAACCCAACTAACAGAATCTGTGGGGTTTAGATGCTGTAGATACTGCTGTTGCTGCCGATAAATCTGGCTGGAAAACGTGAGAGTAAACGTGATAGACAGCGTCATAATCAGACTCATGTTGATCAGACTATTGTTGTTGGAACTAGTGATTGTGGTGAACTTGACGTTGCTGATTTAGCACCTGTAAGACGCCGCTTTAAGTGGCTGCATGTGTCCTCCTTTCGGAATACAGTCTCTGCTGCTAACATTATTGATTATGTTGTGAAACACGCAAACATAGACGAGAAATTAGTAGCGTGCTATAAATTAGTAAAGAAGGATGCCGATGTGGATTCTTTGAATTATGTCAACTTTAAGCTTGGTGTTAGTGGTGATGACTACAAGAAAGTGCTGAAGCCTGAGTTATGGCCGGCTAAGGTGACCATCTGTCCGCTCCGTTTTTTTTCAAAAAGACGGGAAACAAACGCGGCAAGCTTAGTTGGCTCATCGCCTATGCTTCCATCTAACAATATTAAGATCTATTATCAANTCGACGCTGAATTTTTTGATATGATGCTCTTCACCGTATTCCGCAAGGACAGGGACGTTAACAAAACTGGGCTTAGCAGAGGAGGAGGTGTGCTGATAGCCGTACGGTGTAACCTCCAAGCTACATCTATCCCTCTGCTGAATGAAGATACGCTCCTCGACCAACTTTGCGTTCGTTTGCGTGGTGCTCACGGCTTCCTCTATCTCTGCACCTCCTACATACCTCCAGCTAGTAATGATGCTTTATACCGAGCCCACGTCGAAAATGTGATTGCCATTCACCGTGTCGTTGGTAACGATCAACTGTGTGTTCTTGGTGACTTTAATTTAAGTAATCTTAATTGGCATTTTTTGAATAATGATGAATTTTTAACACCCTCAAATATTAATAGTTCTTATGAATCTTACTTTATTGATAATTTACTAGGGATTGGATTAGTTCAGGTCAATGGCTTGTATAATTGTTTGAATCGCTTTCTAGACTTGATATTTGTTAGTAATGGCTTACATTCTATTGTATCGCAACCTCCCTCTTCAATCTCGCCGCCTAACTTGCATTACTCGCCTGTTTTGTTGATAGTCGAATTTTATGAGTTCTTTGATTATCCTACCGTAAAATCAAATTTGTTTAATTACGCCCGTTGTGATTTTGGCATTTTACTCTCTCTAACTGGAACTCTTACTGGAACTCTAATTTTTTGGTTTTTTGTTGTAGAATTAACCATATTTTTATAAAAAATTATCGAAAAATAAAATATTAAAAAAATAGTTGCCCGTATTGTAAAAAATTCGCTGTACCTAAACTTTATTGACTGACTGTATGTATACATACATACGTGCATTCAAACATACATATATACATATGTAGGTACTCGTACCCGTCATGCGTCGCTTTACTTCTTTTTTCCCCTTCCCTATACTACCTATATCTTCCTTCTCACTCATGTAACGTTTTCAGTTTTAAAAATTTCACTCTCCAATTTTGCAATTTTGCTACCGCCGCTTAAGAAGCTTCACTTCAAAAATCCACGCCTATGGGATGC